AACTCGATTTTCTCGAAAACTACGCTTTAGACGAGAAAAAGGTATTCTATATTTTTGCTTTATTTTTGCATAAGGAAACACCTCCTATCCGTTTACACAGTACTTTCGACCGTACTCTACATAATAGCCTTTAATTTTCGTCTGGAAAAATTTGTTTTAAATAGTTAGGGCACATAATGCTCTTACTCGAAGAATCGTGACAAAGCATAAAATTTAAATATGAAGATGTATGTACGTTAAATATAAATAGAGACAATATGACTATAGAGTATGACGAAAACATATAAAATAAAAATACAGTGGAAGTATTAAAATGAATATAAAATATAAACATAGTAGGAATTTAAAAAGTATATGAAATAAAAATATAGTAGAGGCATCACTATATATATGTATGAATAAAAATTAGTAGAAATATATTCAAGAATAAAAATATAATAGAGATATACAAATATTTATAAAATATAAATATAGTAGAAATGTCAAAATATATGTAGGATATAAATAAAGATATAACGTGGGAAATATGGAAAATAAATAATATAAGTTTCACAAATTTAACAGACAATTGAAAATAATATAACAAAATATAACTATTAAAATATTTATAAATATTCCAATGCAATTTTTCGTGATCAAAAATGAATTATTACGTTTCAGTGGCTGATCGATGTCTAGGTCGTGTCCTAATGGAAAGGAATAGTTAGTGCCCCCTGCCTCTAACTGAATTGGGGAAATTCGGCCGTGTCGCCAACTAATGGTACTAAGCGAGGTTACCCATAGTTACTTGCCACCGCTGGCATTAGACTACTTAAGATTCACAGCTACGAACTTCGCTAGTAAAATAATTTCTAAATTCTTTGGCCCAATATACTTAAATTGCCATTACATATTTTTATATTATTAGAAATATATTCAATTATACTAATTGCAACTAAATTGTCAATTAGTGGTTCAACAATGACAGGATGCTGTAAACTTTTATAAATTTATAAATTTGTAGATAAATAAAATTTAATATGTTTATACCATTTATTCGTATGAAAATACTTAATTTCCTAATATATAACAGCACAATTACTTTCTACTTAATAAAGTAACTAAATGCAATAAACTAATGCAATAACTTTCAACATAATTCTATCTGACAGCCATTTCCATACTAACTGACTTTTAGATCAATTATCTTGCTACCATTTTTAATAATTTTGTTATAATTTTTCTAATCCAAATTTATAAATTACCCAAGGAAATTAATATTAATAATTTTCTCATATGTCAATGACACATTAGCATCTGGATATATAGATACAGCTCAAAATTTGTGTTTCAAAAAGAAAAATTTCTGTAAGTCCACCAAACTTTGTTTCAGTATAATAACTATACTATAATATACTACTAAGGTATATTATAATAACCTATGGAGGTTTATCTCCTTAAATATAATTTAATTGATATAATTATGAAGAAAGGCCTCGAATTTTCATTATTGGCAGGAAGTGTCACATTTACAAATCAAGTTCTATTGTGAAGAAGAGAATGAGAGAATTAGAAATAATGTAAGAGTCTACCATTTCAAATACGATTGTAAATAAGAATGTACAAGATGTCCTATATTTTGCAGTATGAACTTCACTAGTCTGTTCTGTAGATGAAACTAACAGAAAATTCACAAATGTTTTATAGGTAAGTTATAAAGAATATGTGGGACATAAAAATATTATAAAAATAGCAATATTATAATAATACTAATGCTATAGTAATTTTATAGCAATACTATAGTAATGTTATAATAACAGCAATACTGTACTAGTAGTATAATAGCAGTAATACTATAGTAATAACAATACCTTAGTAATAATAATGCCATAATAATAGTAACATTATGGCAATAAGAATGCTAGAATAATAGTAATACTATAGCAATGTTACGCTAATAATACCATACGAATAATAATGCCAAAGTAATAGTGACAATATGGTAATAATAGTACAATAATAATAGTAATACTTTAATAAATGTATCATTACAACAATAATAGTGCTATTATAATAGTAATGCAATACTAATAGTAATACTGTAACATTAACAATATTACAGAAACAATAAAATTATAGCAATAATAATACTTTGATAATTACAATGTAACAATAATAGTAGAATTATAATAACAATACTATAGTAATAACAATATTATAGTGGTAGTATTATTATAGTAATAGTAAAATTATAGTAGTCCTATTTTTCTTATGTGAACTGAATGCAGGCCAAGATAACAAGTATAGTTAACACTGACATAGCCAACCAATAACGATAACTGCACAAAGATTATATCAGAATCAAACTATATCAAGTTTATTCTATTAAGAAGGTTCGAAGATGATTACTCGTTACTTCCAGTCATCTTAACTCATTTGCATTCAGGCGCGGAATATTCCGCGAGACACGACAGTCACCTATCACCGAGCGCGGAATAATCCGCGAACCACGACTATCGCCTATCACTGAGCGCGGAATAATCCGCGAGTCACGACTGTCGCCTATCACCGAGCGCGGAATAATCCGCGAGCTGACTTTTTCCATTACCAGTTGCTGAATATTCTTCATATGCCACAGATCACGTTTGATCCCTTTTGCGAGCATCTCATCTACATCGGTTCATTAGATTCTTAACAAGTTTTACTTTTGTCGTGAAAATCCTTTTAACTGCCATTGTAAGTAGGTGCTGATACGCGCGCGGTGATACGGGCCAGTCGTCAGTTGAACGTCGCTGATGCCTGAATACGGCATCTTAAGTACAGCCATGATGCACATGGGTTAATATTCACACACAGTCTCAGCAATAAAACAATTTCTAAATTCTCTCCTGGTCTCCGTGGCCCGCAGTAATCTCGCCGTGACATAGATACTTACACGAGTAAGTACACACGAGTGCTTCGTACGCGAGGCGTTCCAAAAAATTTCTTCTCGTGCACGTGTCCAAGAGGACCAGAAACACCGCGCGAAGTGGTCTGAAGCGTACGAGCAAGTCGAAAGTATTCGTAAGCGTGTGCAAGCGATTCGAGAAGACTCGTGTCGATGACCTACCGCAACGTGAATACGAAAAATCACGGATAAGGGAAATGAACGATTCGTGGATACGGTTTCCACAAATCCTCGACTATCGTCGCGTCAAGCACAAGAGAAATTGAAGATAAAGGGCGCAGATACATCTTTTGGCTGCAGCAATCGGGGCAACGAAATTTTTCCAGATAACAATTTTTTATGTATTTCAACTCGAGGAAAATAAAAATAGTACGAAAAATTTGTTGAGGAAGTTAAAATTAACCGAGAGTTTATTTAATAGGAGAAATAGAGCATGGATTTAGAGCTATTCATTTAGGGTATTGATTATGAATACCCCATTTTGTATTGGATTGGTATTTATGTACATATTAGGGAAAATATTAATGAAAATACATGGGGTTATATTGAAAAATACGAAAATAAATTGATAATAATTTTAAACAGATCAG